TTGCTCCCCACCCTGTGATCCAAACACTTTTACCGACGTCAAAGTCATGTTGAGCGGATGGAAGGCAGATGGGCTGGATGTAATCTGAGTAGCTGACTGGACTGTTCAGCTCCATCAGGGCGATGTCATTGTCAAAGGTGTAAGCGTTGTAATAAGGGTGAGGTATGATCCTCTTTAGCGTAATCTTCACTGCAGGATCTCCATTTCGATCCTGATCTCGAGGGCCGGAGTAAACCTCCCAAGTCTCTGGACGAGAGAAACTGAAATAAAACGAGGAAACAGATTAATTACAGTCTTTTATTTCCAGTATTTAATTTTTATACTTTTTATTTTATTTTTGTGATCGCTCTAGATATATTGCTGGTGTGTGTTTGTAACTGTAATGGCTTCTTTGCACATCGTGCTTGGCCAGGACATCCATGTAAAAGAGGAAAACAATCTGCCCGTTTATTTTTTTTTTAAATAATTAGATGAAATTCTAAAATAGTAAATAAAACTGTACTTTAGATAAGGTGCAAAATTACTTTACCAGTCTCTTTTTGTATGTTTTTGTGTGTATTTGGTTGTTTATTTGTTTGAAATATTTTTGAAGTTGAGAGCAGCTCAAAAAGTAGTTATTTCATAAATCTGGATAAAAAAAACAAACAAACTAAAAATAGACAGCCAGTACATAATATATACTTACAATACTTACTTACAGCACTAGATAAGTTTTTTTCATGGCAGTTGTGTGAAGAGGGAAGTTTCAGAAAAATAAAAAATTTATTTAATCATATTCCCATAACGTTCAGACTTTTTTGGCCCTGTTGGTTCTGGTAAAATAAGACTGATGACTTTGGTTTATTAAGTCTCATCAACACAGAATAAAGAAGAATCCTCCGGATCATGTATGCCAACTGTTGAAGCCATATAATCACATGTCCCTACAGTAGACTTTGAATCACTAGAAAATAACTTCAAATATTCAAAAGCAGACAGAAAATGTCCTCTTGCTGGGCATTAGACTTCAAAGGGCTTAAACTGTTATTCTAATATTTAACAAAAGAACTAGCTTGGTTTAAAAAAAAAAAAAAAAAAAAAAACCCTCCGCTTTACCTTATGCTACCGTCATCTTGCACGCAGTGGGCAGCGGTGACCACCCATTTTGGACTGATGAGGGACCCTCCGCACACATGGCCGTATGATTTAACATGAAGGCTGACCTGCCATGGAAACTCTCCGTCTTCTGCGTCTTGTCCTCCAACAATACGCACTGTCGACTTTAACTGCTTTTTCCCACAGTCTGTAAAACAAACAAACACAAACAAACAAACAGATGTAAGAGGACAGCCTTTGGCAGCTTGCCGTCAAACAGGTGGAATTTTAAAACTGGTTTGGTTGGAAAAGCTCAGAGCAGAAGATAAAGACGATGAGGCATTTAATCTCAGACATGTTATATTTGAAACATACCACAGTTCTCCTCATCTGAACCATCTTCACAGTCCTTTTCTCCGTCACACTCTGGGTTCACCTTATTGATGCATTTATTGTTCTTGCATTTGTACGTAATGTCAGTGCATATCAAATTCGAATCTGGGGAGGAAATATGACAAAAA